AAAAAAAACCCACCCCAGTAGCTGCAAGGAAAGACACAGCACACATACTGAAAAGTCATCAAAAGAAATATGAGCCCAACTCTTCTGGTAAAGCTTTGTTCCTGTCATTTTGAATTTATTCCTCTTTTTCCCTCGTCCTATGTTTTTCTTGGGATATCCACATGGTTTACATACATGAGCTGAAAACGAGGCCAAAGGACAGGACCAGCAAGGCCTTGGGCCCAGAGGCAGGAGCAGTCCCAGGAGAAGCCAAAAGGCACCTGCACGGGGCAATGTGGCCACATGTGGGTTCAGGACCTGGGTTTGAAGACCTGGTGCTGCCTTCAGAGCTTAACTTTTGCAACAGAATGCATAGGACTCTCAAGGTTTTAGGGTTTCTTAAAGATATTTCCCCTAGGGAAATCTCTTTTCTTAAAAAAGAAAGGAAGAAAGAGAAGCCCTGAGTAAAACTGGGGTGGTTTGGTACCTAACGAGAGGTGCGTTACCTTCTGGGCACAGCAAGGGTGCTCCTGGGTCTGCCTGCTTCTGAGGCCTCATGTCCTCACATCTCCCTCTGTCCCCAGAAAGCTGGGAGTGGGGTGGCAGGAACCAAACCAGGAGCTGCCAGGTCCCTCCTCCATGTCCAGCACTGACATGGGTCTCTAGCACAAGAGGTTGCTTCCTTATTTAACGGAGGATGAACGAGTCTCCGTGTCTCCCTCTTTATCGTTACAGGCTCTGGACTGGGCACCAGTACTCTGCAGCCACTGGGCCAGCAGCTTCTCCTTGACCTTGTGTAGCTCATGCAGGAAGGGGTGGGAAGGGAAAGGAAAGGCAAGGGTGCTGCTGCCTGCAAAACTGCCTCAGCTGCTGGTTGACAGGAGTTCTGGGTTGCACTGTGCATCCTGCACCTCGCTGGTGGGCTGAAACGCATTGGTGCTGACTGCTAATTAGCAGCCAGCAGCTCTGGGGGCTTATATGTGCTGGAGAAGCTATCAGAGCTGCATGGTGAAGCTCTTGTTGCTGTCCACTCTGCTGTGTGCCAAAAGATTTTAGGAAAATATAAAAAAACAGCAAGTCACCTGTGTGAGTCACTAAAATGTTCCCTAGTCCCACTTCCAAGCAGTTTTGCATATAAATCAATGCTTAATTCAGCAAGTAAATCAAACCTTATCCAGTGCAAACCATAAACTTCATTGGGGGAAAAACAGCCCATGCAGATTAACAGTTCCCTCATCCCAACAATTAAAACCAAAGCACACCAGGCAATTCAAGTGCCTGCTACAGGCAAATCCATTCCCTACAACATATTCACGTGACTTTGTTATCCAGAAGAAGACAACAGGGTTTAAGGGAAATTTCTCTCCCACCCCACACTCCAGCTCCCCATCCTACAGTTGTGTTTAATCATTATACACTGCTGTAGAGTTTGAGTGAAGATTATCACCTACAGATTTTGCAATATGGGGCCTTTCAGTCATTTACTACTCCTTCCAGAACTCAAAAGGTAAATAATCAGGGAAACTGAGCACCATTCCCAGCTGAAAACAATATTCACAATGCCATTTTCTGTGTTCAATCTCTCAAAGTGGCCAGCTGCCAAAGTGGACTTAGAGGTTTATGTATTTCTTAGTTTACCTCTATATTTATCAAACGTTTTTGCAAGAAAAAAAAAAAAAGTCAGACTCAAACAAAGGGCTGGGAATGTTGAATCTTGGAGGACACCAGAGTGAAGGAAATGAAAAGAAGCTAAACAAAGGAAAAGCCCTAATAGAGGAGGGGTTTTGAGAAAAACATGTCTTCTTAGTACAGAAAAATTGGAATGGATCAGGCAAACAGTCTTTATTCCTTTAATAAAGACTGAAATTTTACACATCCAAATACTAACCCTGCATTTAAATAATTATATGCATTTCTTATTCAACTGTCAAGAGTAATAACCCAGCCCTGAAGGAATGGGAGGAGGAGGGTGAAGGAAAAAAGCTCTTACTCCAAACACAGGTCTAGTAAAAATCACATAAAAGAAACTCCATCTGATGCAAATAGTGGAATGTGTGCACAAGTGACAAGTATTTATTTAGCTAATTTCATAACACTTAGCTTGTTTATATATCATCAGTCCCATCACATGTGTTGCATTTTACCAGTGTTCCAAAGACAAAAATAAATGGCCTACCAGCTGCTGCCTTCTCAAGGTTGTGGTTTACTTGGGTACAAACAGTCAGAGCTCAGTGAGTCAAATGCTGCTCTGCTACATTGGTTCAGGAGATCTAAGGAACTGTCATGGCACACACACAACACCTGAAGTGCTGAGCCCTTCCTAATGGTGTTATTTTACCAGGCAAAAAAACAATCCTCTTTTCATTTGGAACATGTACAAGTTCTATTACCAGCTGCATTCCACTTCAAATATTAGCTGGGGGTGGTGGAGCTGGTTACAGCTGGAATATATCATAAAGCAGAAAGCTATTAAAATTCATGGCAGCGAGACAGTGTGTTGATCCTACAAAAATGGAGCTCTATGTTTAATATTTCTAATTAAAAAATAGTTCAATCCACTTTTGTTGTCTTCACCTCTGTCTAAGGCAGTCTGGGTTTTCACAATACTTTGGCAAGAAAACCCAGCTCTGCATTTCCAACATATAAAAGCCAGCAGAACTGCAACAGAATCCTTAGGCACTGATCAGATGGGCCTCTCCAGGAAGGGCTCCATATGTCCCTGAGAGGATCACAGGGACACCAGGGCTCGATCTCAATTCCACATTACTCTTTGAGTCCCTCCATTTAACAGCCACAAAGAAGCAGGCTAGTAAAACTCTTTGTCAAAGGACACAAAGAGGAGGAGGTGCATTTGAAATGTCATGCTTCCAAAAGCTTTCATGATTTTAAAAGCTCTCACTGGCAAAAAGGAAAAAGAATCCCTTATATACTTACAGAAAGTATTTAATTGCCTGTGTGTTTTAATGGGCTGTTAAGCCTGAAAGCTCTAATTTGAACAAGAAATTTGGAGTGAAGGATACATTTATAAATACAGCAATTGGTGCTCTAAGAAGCAAGAAGAAATCAATATATGGCTAAGGCTCAAGGCAGCATCAAAGGGTATGTCAATAGTGCAAACAATCAAAGCATACAAGAACTTGACATGGATCTTAAGGCTACCTCTTCCCAAAACAAATCCATCCCCTACCTTGCTCATAGCAGTCAGGGCAGGGTCACAGGCTGCATCCAGGTCCTGCACTAACAGCTGTATGCTGTTGGAGATCACACTGCAAAAAGATCAAGCACGAGTTTTAGAGCAGTCCTGAGGAACACGGAGCCAGAACAGGCGGATTTGCCTGTGAAAGGAGGAAAAGTATCTCCTTGCTGACAGCAGCGCTAGGCTGGGAACACACAGCTGGAGCCTGCACTGGAAAGAAGGAAGTTCTGCATGCTCTTCATTGGAGAGCAACAAAGTGGGCTTCAGAGCAGAGAAGACATTTTTATAGGTGACCTTTCTCTGCTTGGACACATAGAAAGGGCTGGATATGAAAGGTGCCAGAGGGGCAACCCCCCCATCTGTGCATCGCAAAGAGAAATCCCCGAGTACTGAGCCCAGACTGGGCTTCAGCTTCAAATTAACCCAGTCTGAATACAACCAACATTTTATCATCTCTCCACTTACTCAGAGTCAATATACTACTGCTCAGAGAAACTTGTAAAGAGGGTTTTTAAGAAGTACATCTGTATGGGTTCTGAATGTGTCTCCCATCTGAGGAGATCAAGGCAGATGTCTTATTTACACTATGTCTAGGATCCTTGCCATCCATTGTCTGAGCTTCCCAGAGACATATACCAGACTAAAGGACACATTAGCCAAACACATTTCCCTTCCCTCTCCTTTTTTTTTTTTTTTCTTTTTCTAAACAGCATGATATTGTTTAGAGACATATTTGATGCCATCATATTATGATGTGCATAAAGGTGCAACTGATCCTAAAACAACAGCTGAGAAACACCATCTGCAGCTACTCAGACCACCCTCGAGGGCACATAACCTGGTACTTGCATTACAAATAAATTCTGCTAGAAGTAATAAGGGACTGTTTCACTAAGCACAGTTTGTAAGAACACTGTAAACTTTAAATCTGCCTGTTTACAACTTTGGTATTATATATGTAAGAATTGCATTTTACTTTTGCTCTCTCATGATGCTAGCACAGAGGGCAATCACAGATCATCATGAAATCTGACTAGTGCTTCCTCAAACCATCTCTCCTCCCCCTCATTTTCTTCATCCAATTCTGGGTACTGCTCTAAAGTTCACTATTTGAAGTATTTTTGTGTCCTCATGGAGATACAGTATCACCCACTCATAACTGCTGCTGGGATCTGGGTGCTCCTCACCTCAACCCACAGAGGTTGTCTGCTCCCTTTCCTACAGCTCCAGCACACGGAGTCCGGAACAGGATGCCAAGGAAAAGAATGTTCCTTCAAAGCAATTAATTTGCTTGCAAAGGCAAACTCATCCAAAATTAGTTGGAAAAATTAATGTGGGAGACCAGGCGACCATTGGCTTCAAGTTACATTATCTGAAACTTGCATTGGGATAAAAACAGCTTGTGACCATTTCTGCTGGTGCCTCTGCTCCTCCTGGGCACTACAGCATTTACTTCCTTGGGGAATTCCACCAGCTCAAGCAATCCCAAGGGAGCCAGACTCAAATAACTGTCTCCTGGGCACAGCTGACTTCTGTAGGGCTCCTGCTGCCTGTGACTTGTAAGGAAGAGCTGTGGTTTTAGTATCAAAACGAAAGGGAACTCTCTTAGTGGAAGGAAAATGACTTCATCACTAGTTTCCACACATCAGGAGTCTGTCTGAAGCTGGGCCACCAAGTGCAGGTTCTTGCCCAAAACCCACAAGATTGCCAAGAGGGAGAGAAGCCTCTTTGTCAACCCTTCAAACTAACCACAAGTGCTGCAGAGAGGTAACAGCACAGCGAGAAACATCTTGCAAACACAAAGTGTTGTGACATATCCAGAGGGTTTGGATCCTGGTTCTGCTAGAAAACACTTCAGATCTCTGCCACTGGCAGCATGTACCAGGATGGCAGTGGCAGCTGAAGAACCCCTGTATGACCCCTGACAGACAGGGGAGTGAAGCCACAGACCAGGAGTGTGGTTGTTACAGGGAGCCTGGTGAGCTCAGCACTTGGAGAGATCTCTGAAGGCTGCCCATGATCTCACAACAGATCTATAGGGCAGGGGCATAGGAATCATGGATTTCTGGATTTACACAACAACAGTTTTACTTCCATCAAGCTTCAAGAGGAGCTCAGTATCTTTCCCAAATTTCCTAAAGAAAATACTTTGCCACTGCAGGGGAAAACCCCACTGAGTCGATGGCTTCAAACACATTTGGGGTGGTTCTGCACTCTCTGTGAAGGAAGAAACACTTTCCAGGGTGTGTAAGCAGCAAAGTTTCACCACTTTCTTTATGACCCTGCCTAACAAGACATCAAATCCCAGAAGAAACAACGTGTTTGATGTTGAATGAGCAAATGCCAGAGCGAGGTTTATAGCTGTGACTTACACTGACAGCAGGCTGGACACAGCACTACACTGAACAGATTGAAAGTCAATTAAAAAGCCTTTGTTACAAGATACATCAGGCCTGACAGTTTAACTTTAAAGCTGTCCAAAACAGCAAACATGAACTATAGTTGGAAACAATTTCCAGAACACATCATGTTGGCTGCCTGGGACTAAGCACCCCGAGAGGTGACCCTGTGCAAACCGAGCAGCAGCTCAGGGCAGCTGGTTCCTGCCAGACAGGTCACAGGGAAACACAAAACTCACCCTCAACCTGTCCACATTAAGAAAATCCCACCATGTGGAATATTTCATTTCTAATCTTCAGCTACCTTGCTTGCTTTGGCTGAGTGGCCACAGCAACCCTAGCTTTTGGTCAGGGATTCCACTCTTTCAAAGGTCTGAGAAACATGGAAAGGAAGGGGAGTCTCTGCAGCCTGGACTGGAGCCTGAGACCACGTGAAATACCTGGATGGAGATCACTGGGATCCTGCCCACTGGAGCAAAAGAGGAGGAATCACAGGAAGGAAGTCTTCTGAAAAAATCCTATTGCTAACTGGGCTGAACCTTAGTCATAGGGAAAAGGAGAGCGGGTGATAGGGATTATTTTCCCATCTTTGCCAAGGTTTTCATTTGTCTGATGTGAGGCAAAACAATTATTTTTTTTGCCTCGATTTCCTTCTCTCAAAAAATCTTCAAGCTTTGTCCATGGTGGAGAGGAGAGGATGTTAGAGGGGAGTATTTTTAGCATCGTTACATGAAAAGTTATTTTAATGAATGATAATCTTCTCTCAATTATAATTTCCAAATATAAGATTGGATCTGTCTTTTATGTCATCTGAAATGGGGTTTGATCATACTGACAAGGCTTCTGATTAACAGTGGGAAGTTAAAGCAGGAAGGAATGTACTGAAATAGCTTCCTTTCTTGAAATGTAACAGCCACCTCACAGAGCTGCCAAGATGCAAATGATGTTTCAAATGGAAACTCACTATTTCCTTTCCCCTTTCCAGGGTTCTTGTTCCTTTGGCTAGAAGGGAGGGAGCCTGTACTACTGCTGAAGCCTGTACTACTGCTGCTCTTGGGCTAGCCAAAGGATGACCATTCCTTCACCAGGGAAATGCCTGTGCTGAGTATCTGAGTGGGTTCTACAACACCAGGAGCTTGGGCTTGTATTACTCCAGCACCATCTGGCTGACAAACTAGGATGTTTGATATATTCTGGGAGGATGCATCTGCTGAACATACATGCTGAAAGTGTCCATCTCGCCCGTCAGGTTGATTCTCTCCACTAGACTTGCATCCACTTTTTCTTTGAGTTTCTCTTCCAACTGTCAGGAAACAAAAGAACCAACAGAAAGATCAGATTTCTTACTTAAAATGACCACTCTTGAAAACTTACATCCTGGAAAAGTCAGCTTCTTCAGACCTAATCTCTGCCCAGACTATAGCCAAAAGTCAGCCAGCGAACAACGGAAATCACTCCTTCTTGGACACTCTAGACACAATGATCTGCCAGGATGGCCTATGGTGGCACTTTGTCCTCAAAGAGTGACCTTCAAGGTCACACATGCAACTCTAGTATGGCATGCTAATGTACTGTCTTAACACCATGCCAGCTGTCCTGCTAATAGAGATGTTTTCCATCACTCGGGGCCCAGGCTGCAGAGGAGGCTGCCAGTCCCAGAGGTGGAGAAGCCTTGGGATGGCCCAACATCCCAGCTCCTCTACTGACCCAGGGCATTCTGAAAGCACCTGAATGTACAGAGCACTGTGGCTGCAAAGCATAACAGCATCAAGACCTTCTCTGCTTACTCCACCTTGCTCCCAATATTTCATGCAAGCATTTTCCCAAACCTATTCTGAATTACTCTTTTTCATGTTTTTATAAAAAGGAGATCAGAAAACACAAGAAAAGTTGTTTTTCATTGTTTGTTTGTTGTTTGTTTTTTTAAAATTTGGCTCCTGATCCAAAACAAATTTTGTCACAAGGATAAAATGACAGCATCCCAAACTGATGCAACAAAGGATCCAAGCAAAAGGCTTTTCTCAGGTAGAAACAGCAAAATCACTATTTTTCTTTCCTTGAAATACAGATTTGAATAATGTAGAGCTCAATAATGAATGGGATGCTACATGGAGCTGACCCCTGTGGATATTCTAGCACTTCTGACACTTCCAGTCTCCAGAGCAGCCCATCCATAGGGAGGCAGCAGCACAAGGTCTGGTGACAGGGAGAGGGAAGCTCACCTGCTGGGTGGTGGCCAAGCAATACTCTGCAGTACTAAGGATGCTGCAAATGAGGCAGAGCTCTTCTAAAGTAAACTTTGCCACTTCAGAGCCTTCTTTTTCTTTCAGCAAACTTGTGATGGTGAGCCCACCACTGCTGCTGGTTGTCCTGGGGTAAAAAAAAAGACAAAACCTTTAAGACTTTCAGGTGTACAGACACACACACACCAAAATAACTGCTAGATTTCAATGCCACAAAAAGCCCTTAAGAACACAAAGTCCAATGCTCTGTGCATCACAGATCAGTGCCATTCTACATCAAACCCACAACTGCTCTTTTGGTTAAGGAATATTATTTGAGAAAGGCAAACAGAATTTGATATCAAGTCTTCAGGCAAAGGATAATTCCTTCATTCACAACATGGTAGATTAGGATGCAAGCTCACTTCACCTTCACTGCCAGTTCCTCAAAATCTAATTAAAGATTACAGAAAAATCTCAGTAACTACCAGGCAGCTTGTCATATTTATCAAAAAAATTAATGTCAAAGTGCATTTGAAACTTTGGTAACCTGTTTCAAAAACTGATTGTATCAACACAGTAAATTACAGGAGATACAGCTTCTTTCCACTGTCTTCCAGTGATTAATGGCTGTGTATCAACAAAGAAAGACTCAGAACAGTTCAGAGTCAGGAAATTCCCTACCTCTCAACTCCTTATAATCCAAATCCATTAAAAAAATAGGCCAGTGATATTTATCTTGGACAGCAAAAATGGAGCACACGAAAAAATGTGTATAAAGAATGCAACTGAGGTCTGAGGGAGAGTGCACGTTAAATTTATCTTTCCACTTGTCTGGATGTAACCTTCTCCCCTTCCATCTGTAAAAGATTTTTCAGAAGGTTTCAGAAATTCATTCTGCTGCTCCCAGGTTTACAAACAAACTGAAGATGGTAAATAGCACCCAAAATGACTTGTTAAGGTTGGCAATACCTCGAGGAGCTCTTCTAGCCTGTACTCTTACCCATGCTGCTGTAAACTCAATGATTCCCTTTATTTTCACTGGGTTTACATGTACATATTTTATGAATACATATATAAAATGTTACAGGTAAGCATTTTAGTACCACATAAATAAGCCACCTTTTCTATAAATTACTGTATGTATAGTGTTGAGCTAAGACAGCTAAGACACAGGATGAATTTGTTACCCAAGTAGCAGGGTTAAGTGCAATTCTGAAAGTCTGTCTAAAGAGACTTGGGCTGGCATTTCACAATGAACTTCAAGAAACTGTAAATCTGACTGCTAACCAAAGCCAAAGATGAAGCTATCCTCCAGGGGCCCTTAAAAGAAAACAATGTGGTGACTGTCCCCTTGGTCTCTTGCTGTTTCTCAGTGCAACCAACCCAACTTTTGAGAAAACTGTGAGGTAATGTACTCACATTGCTGCTGGGTGGCTTCTCTGACAGTGACACAAGTGTTCACAAATATCTATTTATTAATTAGCCTTCTAAAGCATCTGCTCCTCATTAGAACATCTCACCAGACAGTGCTGCAGCATTTGGGAAGTGAAACTCACTTGGGCAAGTTTCCAGACAGAATTTTCCAGGCGTATTCCCGAAGGTACTTCTGGAATATGGTGGTCAGGGCAATCATGGGCTCACCAGTGCTGAGCTGGGAACACTGCACCATGCACTTCTTGTAGTACACAAAGAGGTCGGCACAGCTGGGCAGGACGGCTCCTCCTTCGTCCACGTTGGGCTTGGGAGGACCTTGAGCCTTGAAGTCAGCCACAAACCTGTCAATCAGCTCCCCCAGATTTCTGATGCAGGGGAACAACAGGAATACATTTCAGTTTGTTGGAGGAGGAAACAGAGGGAAGTGAGAGAGAGTAATGCTTCAAACCAGACACCCCATCTTGTGACACCAGCAAACACATTCAGATTTGAGCAGCTGGGTATTCCAGCCCTTCCTTATCTCTACCGTCTCAGCACAAAACTCACACAATAATGAGGACTGGGCTGATGAATAATGACCTTTTGCACTCAGAGTTTTAGTGGTAGCTTCAATCTGTTCTCCAATCACATAGAAAAGCTCCCAAGCCTGCCAGGACAGGGTTCACCACACTTGATGCAAGTGCGTGAAGCTCACGCTCAAGTTTAATTCCTGGCACTGGAAAAGTAACAAGTTGGGCTTCCCACTCCAGCAGCCTCTGGAGAAGACCTCAGGGAATAGGGCTTTTAAAAAAGGGATGTGCTCAAAATGGTGAGCCATTTGCCATTTCTTGGTCCCATTTGGATACCACCTGGTTTTGCACAACTTCACACATCCTCTAAAGAAGTTTTATTTAGCATGAGTGCAAAGTGCACTTCCTGCTTAAGCTCTTTTTAAAACCACAAAAAGCCCTCCTATTGTCTCAAGTGATTCATTACAACTTGGTCCTTACTCAAATAGTTGGGTTTTTAGGCCATAATAAGCTTCACTCCACCATTTCATCAGGACAAAAAGGCTTTTCAGTGTGGCAGAGGGCCAGAACCATCAATAAAGGACCACAGAAGTCTTCTGATCTGGGGGAGTTCCTCTCGTCCTACTCCTCCAGACACAGCACATCCATGTCAGGAACCAAGACCAGCTCTCCTGGCACTGGAGCTCACATAAGTGGAGTCACCTTTGCCAGATGAACTCAATTATAGCCATAAACCTCCTGCCCCAGATACACAGACACATGTACCCTTCCACAGGGAAGTCTGCCTTTTAAGGAGCAGGTAGACATTTCAGATGACAGAGAGGCACTCTGCTGGCCACAGAGTTCTGAATGAATCTTATATTTCCATTTCTACTACAGTCTTGGCTCCACTTCCCCCAGATTCTCCCTTCCTACTGCACTGCTTTACCCCCCTCTCACTGCTCAGGGTGTCATGGCCATGCTGTGCCATGGTCCAGGGTACCCAAGCTGAAAGCCAAATCCTTAAAAGCAGAACGAGAGAAGAAAGAACCTGAACTGTAACTCCCACAAGAAAATGAACTATGATCTTTTTTTTTTTTAAGCATTACTTTATAGTTAATATATTATAATTGTATTTCAGCAACAGACTTACTTGGTCATAGAAATGAAAACTCTTCTTTAAAAACTCTGTCAGAGAGTTTTAACTCAAAATACCCTCCTGATCTTAGGTCAGCTCACAGGGCACAACATGAGAGCTCACGCAGAGATGGCACCAGGGTCTCCTGGGATGGGTGCACAGTGGCTGAGACCCTTTAGCACATTCTCATGGATGATCCCCTGAGCCAAACCCATCTACAGAAAAGTGATTGCAATATCAAGGCTCTAAATCATGAAGCAAGGCTGTTTGGCTCCAGCTAGGCTCATATGTTATTGCAAAGACAAGCAGCCCCTTTTCCATGCTTACTACTTGCTGCTGTGAGTACTTTACCCAGCTCTGACTCCACACACACAGGCAGTTCCTCAGCTTTGCTACAGGACCTGTATGACATCAGGCTGCTCACCTGGTGGGATAAATCCCTACACTGGCACGAGTGACTGATTGTGCTCACCCTGCAGTGAAGCACAATCTACCTCCTGCCAGAGCTGCAGGGGAGCCAGGCAGCCTGAAGGCTCCTGCCTGTGCAGCCTGCAGAATTCCTTCGGGTTCTGGAGTGAAGTGGACGTGGCTCAGTCTTGGTCTTAAGTCCCACTGAACTGAACAGCTGCATTTCCACCTCTGCATCTGCACCTTGCTCCAGCTGGAGTCTCAAGACACAGTCAGGAATGTTGACGGCTTTGGGTTCTTTCTGCTTACACCACATGTTCCCCTCTTCTTCAAGGCAAAGTGAAAAATGTAAGGACAATTTTCCTGGTCCTCCAAGGTCTTGTCAACTGGGAAGCACAAGCAGAAACAGCTGTCCAGAAGAGCTGGGATTGCAGCCCTGGAGCTTCATGCTTGTTCTGATCCTAACCTGGACAAAACTGCCTGTCAAAGGTAGGCCAGGAGGACTGCTCTGCTTTCAGCATGGGATTGACACAAGCAAAACATCAGTGCATTAAGGGAACTAGAACATTATTGATGCACACCTCAGCTAATGTCAATCACATTTAGTCTCAGCTGGCCCAAATACAGTATGAAGGTTAACAGGCTTTGTGTGGCACAACAAGAGCATGAAGAATTTAGCAGAAAAAGCTACTGGGAGATGAAACATGAAGAAGGCAGGAGAGCTACAGAAAGAGAACATCTTCTCTATACAGACTCTGAAAAAAAGCTCACAGCAAATCCTCTGGCATGGTACTTCCCAACAGTAGCATATTTATTGTGAGCAAGAACCCTCCAAATTGAACGAAGAGACAATATGAGATGAAATGTTATAATGAGAACTTTATTTTGGTCCTTCAGTCCTTTCATGTCTATATTATTCTTCCTTTTTTCTTTCACTCAACTTGTTCCGTGTTTTTCCTGCATCCCTGGCAATTACAGGAGGAATTAGGCAACTCCTCAGCAGTGTGAAAGAAGAATGTGGTGCTTGGTAAATCTGACCAGTGATGGAACAGTTGGTACCTGTTGGGCACTGGGGAAGGGCAATGGGACTGAGACACCTGGACCACTTGTAGGATAGTTCCCAGGGTCTGGGTAGTGCGGAAACCTCTTTGCTCATGAGGCTGCAAACAAACACTGCAAAGAAAACATGCCTGTTTCCTGAACACACACACACACGTGCACTTCAGCACACTTCTGCACACCCACAGCACTGCAGCCCTGACACAGCTCCCCCTTCTCTCCATCCCAAGGGCTCAGCTCACATGTGGACACTCCTGTTACTCCAACAGACACAAAGAAGAGCTAAAGACACATATCCCAGAGGGGCAGGAATGAAATCTGATCTTTACACTGCAGCTATGGCTGGAGACCAGCCTCTTTAAAGTCTCTTTTTCAGGTTTCTCCTCTTAAATTGCTGCAGATTTTGGCACTGTGTTTCTTGAAATGGATATGGAAACAACTTTTCAGGAAAAAGGGTCCAGGGCTGCCTTCTACCATAAGCTTAAGGCAACAACGAATAAAACTGACACCCCACTCTCACTGTTCAGAGCCCAAACATACAATTAATTATCTAAGCAATTCTCATTTTCAGACATCAGCAACAGATTCCTCAAACATTCAATCAAAGGGAGAAGAAGAGAGAAAATCATAAAGGAAAGCAGCTTTTGGCAGACAGGGCAGCATGGGGAATACTGTGGCAGTTTTTCTTTGAACTCTTTGCAGCCTGTGGCTATAAAGCTAATATAAAACATCTCAGGATTGTAAAGGGGAAAAAAAAAAGCAACTGAAAGGGCTAGGAGAGCAGTGGGGTAGAATTACCAAAACGGGGATTAAAACGGCCCCCAGTGAGAAGGGAAGAAATATTCAAACATATTAGTGCTCAGTTGGCTGAGAGCAGGGAGGGAAATATTTGTTTCCCTTTGTTGCACTGCAGAGTGGAACCTAAATCAAGCATCACAGACTATTGTCTAAAGCTTTTAATGTATTTATTTTTTTTTAACCATAAAAGGTTGATGGGACATGGGAAACCTTTTTCAAGGTGGCTATCTTGGAGTTTGGACATGAACTTCTGAGTTATGTGCTTTCTCACGTGTAAGTCCTTAGAGGACAGAAGAACATAGATGAGTTACCTGAGACAAGCACCTCTGCCTCCTTTCCAGCCACTAAACCTGCACCAAAAGACTGAACTGAACCTTTTTCAACTACCTCCTCTCCCAGCTGGCACTGTGATTCTTACAGAGATGTCATTTAACCCACAGTGTGAACCAAGGTGCACAAGAAAGTGTGGTGAGAGCACAAAAAACTTCTCAGAGCTCTAAGCTGAAAGCTCCTTTCATTCAAGTTGTTTTGCTGCAAGTCAAAGACAAAGAAGGGTTCCAGGGATTAAAGCCCCTGACAAAGCCCCAATCTGTGAGTGATGATAATGTTATCTTCCAGCCAGCTCATCTACAGCAGCTTTCATCTGAGGATCTCAAATAACTTATTTCTATAAAGCAAATCTTGAAACTCCTCTGCCACAAAGCCACATGTGTATTTTACAGAAAAAGCAAACCTGCTATTTGTGGAAGGCATGAGACAGAAGAAAAGCAAATGTCTGCAGTGGGAATTGCAGAGGCAACAGAAGCAATTTCAGAACCACTAAAGCCTCTGCCACAGAAAGGCAGTGGGCACCACTCCTGCAGGCCTTTGCAATTACAGATCAAACCAACACCCACAGCCCTCTGAACACTCATTTTTGCCCAGGCAAAGGCACTACTCATGCTAACTTCCTCAAACCACAAACACTGCTCCTGATGAAATGGGAAAGCAGACTTTCAAGAAATTAATTTTCTGCAGCTTGAGCACAGAATCTAGTACAATCCAACCATAATGCACATTCAAAAGCAAACAAACCCAAGCTAACATGCTGGTTACTCACTTGTCCTGGGACTCAATATATACATAAAGGTGAGGCTCAAAGCACTTGGAAACAATGCCATGAAAAGGATTGTCAGGAACCTTTGGCTTCTTAGGCTGTAAGAAAAAATGTAGAGCATTGGGTTCAAACCTGCCCTGTAAGACTCAGAAGAAACAGTAATAATGCAACAGCACAGAAGGATCTAAGTCTTCAGGAATATTATAAGACACAAAGTTCCTACTAATAAAAGGCATTAAATCAACAACATGAAATACAGCATCAGTGTGTCCAAGCCTTCCCTTGCTCTTACAGAGCTGTTAGTATTCTGAGGAATTATCTTTTCACTTGTAAAATCTTCTTATCCTTCAAGAGAAGACTGCATGCTAACAGATTTCAGCAGAAGAATCTTAATGCAGTTTGTAAATAAATCCTTGCTGCACCCCATCAACAGTAACAAGTCTCCACTAGTCACCTCTGAAATGAAATGCAGGAGTTATTTGGAAGCCACATGGAGAAATCCCTCAATTTTAGAACATGAAGGATAGTAACGCAAACTTACAGACTTCATCTGGCTGAATTTTATTTAGATAAACAGAATGTAATTACTGGAGATGCTGGAGTTATACAGGCAGCACTGCAGGACTGTTTTCACTGTGAAACACATTGCTGGGGAGGAAAACACTTCTATTTTAACATCACATTTAGAGCATTAAGCATATGTGCCATTTGGGAGTCATTTGGTTTACTCTGATTTTAGTTCAGCTCTGCACTCTACACAGTGGCCAAGCACCTCTCACTGCAGCCACTGGGACTACTCATCTGCTGAAATTTGTGCAACTTTAAGTACCAGCCTGGGCAGGGGCTTTAAGCTCAGTTTTGCTCTACAGCGAGATTTTATTTTTCTTTCTTTACAGATAGACAATTTTTCTTGTTGCTTCCCAGCAAGCTGACAATTTTTCACTGCCTGCCATGAAGGCTGCAGTGCCTCTGGAATGGAATTCCACAAAAAGCCAGGATCAGCTCCCAGCCAATGAAGATACAAATTTTTCCAGCTGAAGTTGGGGGTTTTTTTTGAGCATCAGAAAAGCAAAACAGGAGAGCCTAAAGGACATACATAAAGGACAGAGGAGGTGGCACAAGGTCTTCTGCAGAAATAGAATGACAAGCCAAGAATTTCTCAGAAATAATGAAGACTCAAAGGCACAATCGATCCCAACATATGGCTGCAAACCTAAAGCAAGGCAATGGTTTCACAGAGACCAGCCCACCTCTATGAGACTGGCTTCATTAACTTTCTCACTAAGAGCATAGCTGGAGACTGGAAGTTTTTATAGCTTTGGGAGGGAGCCACCACCCAGCATTCTCCATCCCAGCCCCCTTGCCAGCCCCTGCCCGTTGCTGCCGGATGCACACGCTTGTCGGAGCCGGGAGGAAAACAATAGGTGGCAATTCCAGAAACCTTCCAGTTGCCAAGTCTCTGGGATGGCAGTGCCAACACAAGGTTGCAGATTCAATGTGTTTACAATTTACCAGGCTGGAAGAGCCAACTCTCAATGCAGGACTGGTTTTGTGTGTGTGCCTCTGCATCATGCTGCTCCCAGCACGTCTGGTGGAAGGGATAGTAAATCTTTTAACAGTAGCACTGAAGCTGTATCTCTGAGTGTGCAATCTGGTCCAAAAGCTGCAGATGTTTAAGCTATTTCCTCCTTGAGTTTGATGGAAATAGTAAAAGGTTACTGTTGTCACAGTAAGGAGGTCTGCAGCTGGCCCAATTTCCTTTCATTACTATCCAAAGTAAACAGATTAAATCGACTGCTAGGATCACTAAAAGTGGTTCTTTTTTAACATGAATTTACCCCCCAAAACCCTTGTGCTCCCTCTTACACTCCCAAGGGTCCTGAATCCTCAGGACTAGCCTCTTGGAAGAGCTCTACCCCTCAAAACTCCTCAACTCCTCTTGTCCTTTCTCTTCTTCAGCTAGTGACAGCAGAAGATGAGACCTCCAGCATGAACTCACCAGCACTAACCACCAGCTGTTGGTGCTTTGAAACAAAGACTGGAGCCCACAGCCCTTGTGGCAGAGTCCAGCTCTGAGCTGTGAGCAGTAACATGGGGTGTACCCAGGCAGAGAGGGCAACCTCACCACTGCAAGGGGTAGCTCAACCCATGGAACATACCAGGCCCCCTCAGCAGAGCAGTTCCTTTCTCAGATACTGTTCAGTAAAACCAGCCCTAAGTGGCCTACTTATTGCAATTATCTCTTCACCTGCCTTCTAGCACCACTGACTTCTCCAAGGCCATCCTCTCAACCCAACACAGAACTTCAGAGCCAACCTTCTCCCAGACAGTGAAAAGCAAGTTCTTCACAAAAAATACACCACACACGTGTGTCCCCAAGTTCTCAGTCTCTGCCTTCCAGATCACTGATAAAGTCCAGCCAATACTAACTGTCCCAGTTGTATTTTAATGGAAAGAGCAAAACTCTGCTCTTGTTTCAGGACTTCTGTGGGTGGGGGGCAGAGGGCTCTCTGCTCATGTGACAGTCTGGAGGAGATGCAGAGCACCAGGCTCTGCTGGTGAGGAGCTACCACCCTCAGCATCCCCAGGGACACAGATCTGAGCAGGTCCTAGGGCCCTGCTCATCCATCAGGACACCACCTGTAAACAGCCCCTTCACAGGGCTGTAGACTCACCCAGCAAGGAGAGGGCACCCCCACCCCAAGCAACTCACAACTGAAGACAAGGAAAACATCCATCTGGTGAGTAAAAAATACGGACCTTGCAGACTTTGATACTGGTGCCAATTAAAACAATTGCATTTACTATTCACTCCTTTAATGTTTGCAGAGAAACCCAATGCTTTTACAAGTGGTTAGGTGTTGCCTGCTTCACAGAGGCAATGGATGAAAAGCTCTATAGAGATAAAAATCCCAGAAGTAATATATCTGGAGTGAAAATCTCAAACTGACACTTGAAAGCTCAATGAGTTGCCTGATGACTTCAGACTTACTTGGCTGACAAGAGAAAAATAGGAATTACAACTGTTTGTAGTGGGAGCTGCTTCTGGGATTTGAAAACCCAACTATGCTGGTTCACCTTTCTTTGACAGAAATCCTGTAGTTACTTTGGAGCTGTTGCTGCTGGGGCTAGAACAGAATCCAACTGACTCTCACGTGGCAGGATTGTCTCCGCGTTATTAACTGAAATAAAGATTGCTTTGGTGCAGTGAAGGCAGCCAGAGCAAACCATGGTCATACTCAGAGCCTGCAGGCTGCACTGAGGCCCAAAACTCTGCTCAATTAACTGCTGTGAAAACAAACCTTTCAAATCAACGTGATGGGAAAAGCTGAAGCACCACTGGAGATTTTGACACAGAGACTGCTGCACTGACAGCTGGAGAACTTCAAAGACTTACTTTGTCTGTATCACTTTTCTCCATCACAATCTCATCTGTCTCTGTCCCAGTTTCATCTTCCAGAAACGGGTTGGTGGAAGGAGGTGGCACTTCTGGCTTCTTCTGTTAAAAAAGAGGAAGCTCCTTAGAGAACAGCCTGTTTTGTCCCCTCTGGCACACAGCTGCACTCATATTTTGCTTCACTAAGCCTTCAAAGCACTATACAGCAGTTTATCTTCTCCACAGAGTGCCAGGCAGTGCCCTCCCATCAAGGTCAGGGCACACTCCCTCCTCCTACAGGGCTACAGCCTGGGTCCCTCTCCATCACCCCACCAGCACACTTCCATCTCCAGCACCTGCTCCTCTTGCACCCACACTCACCTGCTCTGCCTGAATTGTCCTTGAAAGGGACACTTTGGCCAGTTTAAAATTTCTACTCTCTCAAACTAAAGTGTGTTGTCTCTACCACAAGGACCCAAGACAGCAGCCCCCAAAACTGCTGCTGCAGTAAATCCTGCATCACTGCTCCCCCCAGACTACCTGGCCCCACTGAGCACTGGAGAGAATTTGTAATTACGGCCTTCATTTTGGGTATAAAACAGGTCAGATGGTGACAGCCAGACTGTCACAGCCCCTAGGCACATCAAAAAGGGGCACAGAGAAGATTTTCTTCTATTTCAAGGCACACCCTCCCCTTCTGTGTTTCTCAGTTATAGCAGCTTCTGTGCCTACCTTTTCCAAAGAGATAATAACCCCGTGAAGCCAATTTAATTAAAGCTGCAAATTTCGTATGAAATTTGTCAGAAAAATAAAGCCATATTCTTGAAAGACCTAAATTCAGCCAGGAGGAAAACCTTACAGGACTTCTAATTAGCTGCACCTACTGATCCACAGCAAATGGTAAGTGGGTCCGGCAGGCTTGCCTCAGAGGCTGAACCATCACATCCAAGTACGCTTCAAGGCACCAGCTGGACAGAGAAGCCAACATCAAACCAGTGGCTCCTGAGCCCCACATGGACTCTGTGCTCCCAGGACACACTGTCTGAGGCTGACAGAGCTCCTGGCTGAGATTTCAGGCAGAAAAAGCACAGAGATGAACCCAGAGACAAACCTTGAGCTGTTCCTCTTGGCTCTGCCACTACAAATGAGACAATGACAAGCGGAATAATAAGGCTAACCTAACAGTGTGGGACTGAAAGATGGTACCACGTGGTGAATGGGTGGCAACTAGAAATGAAGAGGGGGGGACTTCAGTTTGAGAACAAAGCTCACAATGCAGTCACCATGCCATGGTTACCTTGTGGTTCTCCACAACCATGTGTCTTCAGTTGCAAATAGCACAGGGCCCAGGAAAATACAACAAATACACAATGGGTACACTTCCCTTCCTGTGAGCCCTCTGCCATCCTCCCTGCAAGATCAAGAGCCACCTTCCCAGAGACAAGCCACTAGGCACAACCACGAGGAGGCTGCAGGTGACACTTCTTGCAGACTCCCATTAGCACAGCTCTGTGTGGGGGAGAGTTTTTTGTCCTGAAGCTGCTGTGGATTAGAAGGTTGTTCTTTAGAAACCCCCTTACCACTGTCCCATCAGCTAGAGTGGAACCTGAGAAGCGTTTAGCCAGGAGTCCTTCAAAGTTAGTTGTCCTCTGAATTGCAAACAAAAGCAATTTCACCTCAATCTCCTTGGCTCTTGTGCGCATTATCTTAGCAAGTTCTGCCCTGGAAGAGAGGAGGGGAACAGAAAAAACCAATGTGGTTTTCTATAAAGAGCAAGATCTGGAACCTATGGTAGTAATTCAGACTGTTCCTCAGACACTTCATCACACACTTTGAGCTAATTCCTCAAATGCTCTCTAACACAAAATGGTTTCACAGATCACATTTCAAACACAACCATAGTTGTTTAGAGCTCTGTGGGTAACAGGACCCCGTCTCTCACACCCCAGCACACCCCTAGAGCCAGGAAAGCCGGCAGGATCAAACCTTGGGAAGCACAGTGTCTCTGACTGGGGCTCCTGAACAAAGGCAGTGGTGCTCCTGGGACTGCACCCTCCTCTGCTTTCCTGTCTCTGGCTGGCAAGGAGCACAGTCCAAGGCAGTCACACCACAGTCAGCTTGTGCTATTTCTCTTGGCCTCTAATATTACTGATTTTTAGCTCTGTTCCACTGAAAATTGATTTCCACATCATCTCATTCTCCCAACAGTACAGGCAGTTTTAGTGATACTTCACTAACAGGGTAATGAGGGCAACATTCTTCACTAAAGGACAAGGGGCAATGACTTGATGAGGGGAGATTCACATTAGATATTAGAAAGAAATTATTCACTATGAGGATGGTGAGACACTGGAACAGGTTGCCCAAGGAAGTTGTGGAAGCCCTGGAAGTGTTCAAGGGCAGGTTGAATGGAGCTTTGAGCAACCTGGTCTAGTAGGAAGGGTCCCTGCCCATGCAGGGGGGTTGGATCTAGATCATCTTTAAGGTCCCTTCCAAACAAAATCATTCTCAGGGTTTTCACTCTTCACTTGCTTTTAATCATGGCCAACTCTACATAGATATTGGAAGGCCACCTTTAAAGTCTTATGGAGATAGGATCCATTTTGAAACAGACAAGCCACCCTTTTGTTTTGGGGAAGCTGGCTCTGCCAGGAGGCAGGGTGAGCTCCCCAGCCATTACCTGGTGAGGTGGCAGAACTCCACGGCGATGCGCTCCGACATGCACCACTCCGGGGGGAACATGCGCCCGAACTTCTCCTCGTAGTCCAGCAGCTGCCGCTTGATCCAGGCGTAGCGCCGGTCGATCTTATCCAGCCAGGCCACCTGGGGAAGATGGAGAGCAGCACCTTCAACAGCAGCAGCTGCTGATACTCACAGAATGGCTTGGGTTGGAAGGGACCTTAAAGATCAGCTAGATCCAACCCCCCTGCATGGGCAGGGACACCTCCCACCAGCCCAGGTTGCTCCAAGCCCCATCCAACCTGCCCTTCAACACTGCCAGGGATGGGGCAGCCACAGCTTCCCTGGGCAACCTGGGCCAGGGTCTCACCACCCTCACTCCAAATAATCTTCTTCTAATATCTAACCTAAATCTCCCCTCCTCCAGTTTTAATCCATTACCCCTTGCCTTCTCACTCCACGCCTTGTAAAACATCCCTCCCCAGCTTTTCTGAAGCCCCTTCAGGTACTGGAAGGCTGCTATGAGGTCTCCCCAGAGCTACTAATCTACTCCAGGCTGAACAACCCCAACTCTATTATTCAACTCTATATTCAGCCTGACTGCTGAGCTGTGAGGCTGCAGTTTTGCAGAGCACCCTGGGCTATCCATCAAAGCTCACCTGGTCACCATTAATAACACTGGGAGTGCTAACAGTCATCCTGCAGGGTGCTGAAACACACACCAGACTGAAAACCCTGTCTTGTGTGAATTAAGAGAGCAAGTTCTGCTGAAAATGAGGATAAGAGTGCCCCTAAATCATGTGGGTACTATTGAAAACTCAATCCAATAATAATTCATTTGATCCCACCCTCTGTTTCGCAGACAGAGATATTAAAGTTGACAGTGGGATAAGAACACAGGAATTCCTGGATTCTCACAGTCAGGTGGTTTCCACACTCTGGGCTCCATGGACCCACAAACTTCTACAGGAGCTCTTACAACACAAGCAGGAGGAGATTCACCCCCCCTGCCAGTATTAGGTCTTTCTGGTCAAAAAGTAAAAAGATGAAACAAAAAAGCTCTGACAACAAAATGTTATTTAAAACAAAGCACCTTGGACATTTTCTCCTCTTTGTCAGAAACTGTCAAATCTCTGAAATTGTTAAAATACATTTTGATGCTGCTTTTGTTTTTCTTTTTCAAATCCAAGATTATTATAGTAACTGTTTAAGAAGTTGTTAGGATCAGGCAGGAAGCTTAAAAATTAGCCTCAAAGATTAATCCACTTCCTGGAAATCCTTCCCCCTCTTTTGGGGCATTATAGGGTTTGATTTTTTTTTCCTTGAGAGGAGGTGGTGATTGTGGTTTTTTTAAAGTTTTGGGGTTTGTAATTTTCAGTTTAATTTTTCAACTCTTTACAGGGTACAAAGTATATCCAACTAATTTATTTTTTTACTATAGGAAGAGAAAACATTTCCAGTGCTGATCTATGAAACTGAGGTCTGAAGTGGGAAGAAGTCATCCTGGTGGAGAAGACACTGACTCCCAATTCCTCAGCCAGTCCAATCACACCCTCAAGTGTTTTAACCCTGAGGTTAAAAACTCTTCACTACAGGAACCTGTGGACATGTGAACTTTGTGAATACCAGCAGAGCAAAATGTGAAATCAAAGTGTAGCTTGCCAAGCTTCCCTTACATCTTGGTTTTCCTGGAAAAGGACCAGATACTCTGAGAGATGCTGTTTAATAAATTTCTTGATGATTTCCTGTTTGATTCTGGGATCCAGGACATTGGCGACAAGACACGCATCACGTAGGACATTGCTGGGCCCACCAGGCCTCTGTCAAAATAAACAGGAACAAATGATTTAAGGTTAAATAGATGAATGAGTGATTGTAAATTGTCCTGCATTCTGGCTATCTTGTTTTTCTCCTTCCCCATTATTCTCTTCCTGGTGCTTCTGCTGCTTCTCTTTATTATCACTCCGTCACCTTGTGTTGGATGAAAACTGAGCTCCTTCCATTGCACTGGCTGGGAAGTTGTTGTTTTTCTCCTTTACTATTATACTAGTAAAAGAGACAGAAAATTGAGCAGCATTTAAAAATAAAAATGCTGTTTTGAAGCTACGTCACATGGCCAGAGATTTGCCCTTAATCATGGAGCTGTTCCAAAGCGTTTCCTCATTTCTGTGCTTCCTAGTTTTATGCAGAAGCCAGCAGAGCAGATCTTCTGGAAGACACAACTAGTGTTTTCCTTGAAATAAATTCAAATTGACACCTACCCCCCCCTATTGTTTGCAAACATTTGGATGCATAATTTGGGGGAAGCACATTTGGTGCCTAAGCCCTAGCCCAGATTTGTGTCTGTGCTGCCTGAGTAAATCAGAGACAAACTTGGTGGCAAGCAGCATGTCAACAGACAGCCTGTGCTTGGCTTTGCTGAAACACAACATGGATGTTTTTGTGTCCAGCAAACAACCAGAACCTGGGTGAGAAGCTGAGGGAACCTCACTGTGGTCTAGAGGGCTCCTCACAAAGCTCACAGCAATAGCTGGGCACGACATGGCAGAGGAAGGGTGGCACTTCTCCCCCACATTCACTCACCAGAAGCAATGAGAAATACACCTAGCACCCTGCAGCTTTCTAAAATAACTCCTAAAGGCAGAGATCAAATCTAGATGTAAAATGAGATTAAATTCAGTGACAATTACATTGAATAGTTTTTCAGCAACACTCGTCAATGGGAGGAAAAGGGGAAGTGAGAACTTTACCTTTGTACCTTGAGAAGGAAAAGCTTCCTCAAAGTCAGCCAGGATCTGCTGTCCCAACTCATTCTGTGCTGCCTTCACCCTGAGGAGGACAGAAGCAACAAGGGCTTTGGTGGTGGCACAACAACTTCATTGTTTTGTTGTCTGCAAACATGACTACCAAGCGAACTGAAATGCTAGCAGCTGCTCACAGGTTTTTAAAGGATAAAAAAAACCCCACCTTGCTAAAGGAAAACATCCACATTAAGAAGGCCTGGATGTCAAAACTGGGAGAGCATTTGCTCCCTGAATGACACCAGGATGACAACTCCAGCTGTGCAGCATTGATCCCTGAGCTGTAGCAGAACACATCCTAGATGCCCCTGCCCTGCAGCAATTTAGTATTTTAATAAGGGCCAGTTAATCAGCTGAGAAATTAGCAGGATTCCTTTAATGCCAATGTGATCAATTTATCTTTACATTCATTTACACTGACCACATTTTAGCCAAAGTCTAACACACAAAAATCTTCACAAAGTCTCAGTCTTCACAGTGAGCCTTTCACAGCTCCAGGTGCACTGACCTACTTTCAAATGCATCCATGTGAAAACTGTTGGCTGCAGTTTTAAGCTATAAATTCTCCCTGTCTTAAGAAACATAAAAAAGCAAAGGTATGAAAGGGGTGAAAAAGTTTTGAATAAGCCACAGTCTTGCTCTTTATTTAGCTGAGAAAATGAAGCTTTCCATTTCCAGAAATAAAAGTCAATATTTTTTAATTGATAATT